TCCGAGGGTGTAAATCTTTACGGGAGTAGAAAGCCTCATCTTTCTCCCGCAAAGCAGAGGTAGCGGGGACTAATAATTTACAGGGTTGTTGTTGTTGTTAAGTGCCGTCGAGTCGGTTCCAACCCATAGTGACCCTGAACAGCGTTTCTGAGGCTGTAAATCTTTACGGGAGTAGAAAGCCTCATCTTTCTCCCGCGGAACAGCTGGTAGTTTCTAACTGCTGACCTTGTGTTGTGGTTCGCAGCCCGATTCGTAACCACTATGCTACCAGAGAAGGGTAGCCTCAAAGAAATAAAACTGCGCATCAAAGTAAAAAAAAAGAGGAAAATCAAAAGATTCACCTACTATCAACACAACAGAAATGAAAAGAAAACAACAGCATAGAAAATTATGTGGATTAAAGAATCCAGCAGCACCACAAAAAAACCACACAGAAAAATGACAGCAATCACTTCAAGCTACTGATAATTACATTGAATGTAAATTGATTAACTGTCATTGAGTCATGAAACAGAAAGAGCAGAATGGAAAGGAAAACAGGATCCTTCAATATGCTGTCTACAAAAAGATGGAGGCAGCCCAAATGTTCATCAACAGAAGAATGGTTAAACAAACTTTGGATATACATACACAATGGTATACTACAAAATGTTAAAGAATGATGATGAATCTGTGAAACACTTCACAACATAGTTGAACCTGGAGGACAATATGCTGTGTGAAATTAGCCAGTCAAAAAAGGACACGCATTGTATGAGGCCAATGTTGTAAAAAGTTAAAAAAACAAAAACAAAGTTTTTCTTGATAAAAGAAACAACTTATGATGGTTATGGGTTGGTGTGCGGGGAAATTATTTGTGGGCTAGAGGGCAGACACATGTTAACACGGGTGACAGGGTAGGCAGTATCCAACCAGAGGGAGGTTGGCAGAGGAAAAATGATGGCAGCAGGAGACATAGGGAGGAATGCAGTATTTAAGATGAATCGAGGTAAATGCTGTTAACTGTTGGTGCATGGAGGGGAGATTGCAATATGTAATGAAGCAAAGGGTATAATTTGTTGAATGTAAAACTGATGATCTGCTCTGTAAACCTTCATTCAATTTATAATACAAAGCTTTAAAAAAATGGCATTAAGATGAATCAAAGACCTAAGTGTAAAACCTTGAATTATAAAGATCACCAATAAGAAAACAGAGACACATTTAGAGGACCTAATAAATGGCATAGAAACACCCTAAAACATAACTGGAAATGCACCAACAGCAGAAGACTAGTTAAATGACTGGGGCCTCTTAAAAATAAGACACTGCCATGAATCAAAAGACGTCACGAAAAGAGCAAAGAGATGCCACAGAATGGAAAAAACAATTGGGCAGTGACATATCAGACAAGGGACTAAACGCTAACATTTATAGAAAACTTCATAACCTCATATGACTAAGGCAAATAATCCAATTATAAGATGAGCAGAGGACGTGAACAAACACTTCAACAAAGAAGACATCAGGTGGCCAACAAACACAAGAAATGCTTCTAATCATTAGCCACTGGTGGTGGCGGTCGTGTGTACTGAGTTGGTTCTAACTCAAAGTGACCTTCTATAGGTTTCTGAGTCTGTAAATCTTTGCCGGAGCAGGAAGTCTTATCTTTCTTCCACGGAGCAACTGGTAGATTTTTACTAGTGACCTTGCAATTAGCAGCCCAGTTTGTAATCCACTATGCTACCAGAGTTCCTTCATTAGCCACTGTTGTTGCTGTTGTTAAGTGCTGTCGAGTCGGTTCTGACTCACAGTGGCCCTCTTTAAGGTTTCCAAGGAATAGCTGGTGGGTTTCAACTGCTGACTTTGTGGTTTCCACTAGCAGAAGTCTCATTAGCCACTTTTTTGTTGTTAAGTGCCATCAATTCGGTACTGACCCATAGTGACCTTATGCACAGCAGAACAAAACACTGCCCGATCCTGGGCCAATCTCACTACCGTTAATGGTGTCACTCTGCCAATCCATCTCGTTGGGGGTCTTCCTCTTTTCCTCTGACCCGCCACCTTACCAAACAT